CAAAAACCGAATTTCTGAAAGTTTCGAATTGTATATGGACCTACGTTCACTTCACCCATGTAGGCAGGGCACCCATGTAGATGGACAAAAATGAAGTAAGCAGAAGACGCGTGGCCGCAGTCAGCTTGCGCCCGCCTAGGCTCCTCGAAGAGAGCGTCTCAGCAGTAAAGGACCATAAATCAGCCTGACCACCGCATGCAAGGGGCACGAATGCTGCTCGATAAGTCGTCGCCCATGTGTACAGTTCTTCCCCTCCTCCGTCGGTTCAGATCGGCCCAAACTGGCCTTGCTGACACTTCTCCGCCCCACTATACTGCGATTTAATCAAATCTTCCCTTGGCAGTTGTCACCTGTTGGTTGTGACTGGTGACGTTGAAGTTCCCAATTGGATGAAACTGTACAGCTGATACCTCTCTGGGGCAGGGTTGGATAAATCGCAGTATAGTCCACTCCAACCCTCCGGGGTCCTGCTAGCAGCTCCGCACCCTCTCTCCCGGCCGCCGTGCCTATCTGTCCGACGGCCTCTGTAGTCGTTCTTCCGGGCGACCGTTCTCGCCCGGAAGAAGTTCGAGACTGAGCTACGTCCACTGCCGATGTCCGTGTAAGAAACATTGCCCAATAATTGTTCTCATTGTTCTCATCTTCCCTGTTCTCATTGTTTCCTCTCGTCCGCCTATACAGTCCAGTCAATTGGTGCTCAAAAGGGTCCGAACCAGGAAAAAATTCCGGATGTTTTATGTCAACGGTTTTATATGTTTTTAAAGATGCTGATTCGAATCGATGTTTGCCTTCACAGAACAGATTGGTTGCACAAATAAAATTTCGCCCTTTTCCTTTTTGTTTATATAATGTAATATAATATATAATAAATAATGTAATAAATGTGTATGTAAAATAATCTATCAGTTTTATCGAAACAATTGTTATTTAAGAAATAAACATTGAGGGTGAAGAGCTCTTTTCAGACATTCTATCTCGCGAAAGCGTGCTAGTTTCACTTTATCAAGCTTGAAGACATCTACAGTAAATAAATAATCGGCATTGTTAAATTATTAACCCTAAAATACTCACAGTCATTTGGGACGAATTTGCTCGGGCAGAGATATCTAAATATTCTTCACACGCAACATAAGGTATATGTGCATTATCTATTTTTGGATGAGGTAGAAAATTATCTTTAATCACGTATCAATTCTTTAATGGTAAATTAGTATTCCTCGTCACTGTTTGCAAGAAAACTAAAAATAGTTTGCATCGCTGATTCTGTATCTAGTATGTAGAGTCTGACTATGATATGTGTTTCTCTCTTCATTGGGAGATGGTGTGGTGCTTTCATGCACATAAATAAGCATGTGCACAGTCACATGATCGGCGGTTAAAAAATAAATAAAAGTGTAACTGTAAACAAATTGTTATTTTCTTACACGTCCTTTGTCATTTATGATGGCTTCTACATTTCTTGGCATTAATTCTACGAGCTTTGTCGTTATAGGTGAAGATACTGTTCCATTCCTCCTAGAGTGCGCTCTTACAAAACTTTTTATACAAAATCGGTCTGTTCCAATTTTTTTCTCCAAAATATTGTTACAATATAATAAAATATTATAATAATATTATAATATATCAATAGTCAATGGTACTAATGTCTGGAGATTGTGGTAGCGTATCCAGATGTCGTGGAATATTAGAAAGGATCCATGTTCTTGTGTTTTAAGCCCTATGATTTGGATCATTACCCTGCTAAAAATTAAATTGTCTTTGAGACTCATTTTTTCGGCATTTTTGTGCAATTTATTTTGCACAACGTAGATGTACATTTTACCACTAATAAAGTGAAAATTCTCCACACAAGAGGCACTCATACACTCCCAGCCGAATACAGAACCTCCTCTGTATTTCACGGTGGCCTTCATAAAATTTGGAGTTTCTCTTCCTTCACACCATACATTCCCCATCTGCGCCAAATATATTTAATTTACTTTCATTAGTAAAAGTAAATAGGTTCAATATTTATTGATAACTGTTTCAATATTTTTTAGTTAATTCTAGCGCTTTTTTCTGCTGTCATTGATCCACAATTTCCTGCGCGCCTCACTTCAATGATGCCCACTGATTCATAGTATTATGCGAATTGCACTTAATGAAGTGACTAATCTGGAAGTAAGTTTTTGAACACTAAGTTTTAAATATACTTTAATACCGTGAAAAATTTTCTTGTGTCACGCTCATTCAGCAACTATGGCTGTCCACTCCTGCGTTTGTTATTCCCTGTTTGCCGAACAGAGTACCTATCGATTACATTAAACACTATAGTGTATGAACTTTGCATAATCTTTCCAATTTCTCGCAATGATCTGCATTAATTATTAAAATATTTGAAATATAATTTTTGAAATATAATTTGTCTCTCCTCTTCACTTGTTTCCTTTTCTTTACGCCGCGAAGTGACATTGAATTAACAAATATTTCAGTATCATAATATTCTAAATCACTGACTGATAAATACCACAAATGAAATTAATATAAAAACCGTTACAGCTAAGTATTGACAGGTGAGTCCCGACTGGCAAGGTGAAGGTCAATCCACAGACGGCTGCGGCCGCTGTGATTTTGAGGAAAGCCATTACCGTGTTTGAGTGTTTGCGGGTTCCAAAACTTCTGGCTTCCTTTTTCTACGAGAGATACGCTTTCTGGTTTCTCAATTTCCTGTACTTCAATTAAAGTGTTTATATTGTACCAACTTTACTATCTCTCTCTCTCTCTCTCTCTCTATATATATATATATATATATATATATATATATATATATATATATAATTCCGTTGGACATTTTTCATTTATATTTCATATTCTCTTATTTTTAAAGCGTTTCAATACATTTGACGCTCACTGAATACTAGAAACCATAGTTGAGATGATTAAGCCTCTTCTTGATTTCTCTTCACGTAAACAGAAATCACGTCCACGTTAAGCCCTGTAACGTCATGTGAGTTACATTTAAATAAAAACCTTACAATTCTGCCGCCCCCTCACTGGCTTCATGAAAATATTCCAGCCCCCTTTCTTTCACAAAAGTTATCTGCGTTCCATCATCCAACTCGTTTTATCACAAATATCCCAAGGTATGCGAGGCCTTAAGCACACGTAATAAAACTACAAATATTACACGTTAATACTACTTACAATGAGTTCGAACGTGGCTAACTAACTTAACACTGACTGCCAATCTAGTGTCTTAGCGTGAGGCTGGGTTAACGCTGAAGAGTGAATCACACGCTGATGCGTGGTGTAAGGTGATATTTCAGGTACAATCACGAGCTGGCGTATGAAATATTTCGTGGAAAAATATGCAAATTATAGATTTCCAAGATTTACTACGAGGATCTCCGTATCACTTGCGAGAATCAGAAAATATTTCTATCGCTGTCGTTTTCTAGGCAATTAAACGGTACATCAGTGTCAGAGATTTGCAGTAGTCAAATAGCGTTTTCCATGCGCCACACTGGTGCGCATTCAGTGCCCGCTCGGGGCAGCTGTCGTGTTCCACTTGACCGCAGGGGCGCACCAGTGCAAGGAAGCGTATGTTCCATTCACACATTGCAATGAGGAGCTTGTCAGTACATTCCATTACTCCGGGCCATTTTGAGGTTAGGTAAAAAAGTTATGTATGGTGATTTGGATTTGTGGTGAAATTTTGAAGACAATTGAGGATCTTCTGTCACACAGGGACACTTCAAATGATGGAGTGTGTCATGTTTTACAAGAAAACCTTAAAAGAATTTTTGTGGCGAAAATATGCTTGTGTTTTCCTACAATTCAACCTTGAACATAATATTTACAATACTTGTGCTCTTTCGTAATCAAATTAACGTACGTCTCAATTTCGAAACGTTAATAAAATTAAAATTAAAATACTGATTAATGTTGTTACAGAATCATTAAAATGAATGTGCCCAGAAATGTTTCCCGCACGTGCATAGGCCTACATACGCCTGCAGAAATGCTCAAGTTAATATTTTTATGGATTTCAATAACTAAACAGTTGTGCAGAAGCGTTGCGATTCAAAATCTGCTGTAATATACCGATCAGAGTCAAATCGTGAAAAAATAAATTTCGGCAGATACGCAGGTAAAGTTTTCACTAATTGTTAAAAAAAATACACGATAATAATTTATAAATTAAGAGTAAGAGATTTAAAAGTAATAATTTTTGTAACAAAATTTACAGCAACGATAATAATTGAAAATTCTTATTTTTCGAGTTTTATCAGTGCGACAAGCAAAGACGACTGACTATAATCTAAATGCGCAACGCACTCACACTGATCCAATTTAAGAATCCGTTTCATTCGTGGCTGGCCTTCACACTTGTGGGCAATTTCCAAAACCTATAAAAATATCTGGTTCAACATTTTTGTTAATATCTCAAAATTCCTCCTTAGTGTTATTTTTACCTTTTCTCATAATTTGGCATCATTTAACAATGGCAATTGCAGAGGCAACAATCGCAGAGCGCCGGTCGGAGTCTATGGCTGAAAAGAGCTATTCTCTCGCTTTGGCCATTTGCCCAAAAAGTAACTGTTATTCGGCGCGCTCTAATGCCTAAACCATTTTTCAGAAAATTAAAGTTAATATGTGCGTTGCAGAAAAAATGTATCTTCTTTAATTTTGTAAATTAGATTTTTTGGATGAAACTCATAGTTTTCAAGATATAACGGAGTAACAAGAAACACTGCGAACATGTTAGGTTGTTTTTCTTCTGCAATTTTCTCTAGGAAACTATGGGTTTTTTTAGGTAGAAACATTAAATTTGAATTAATCGCTCTCAAAATATACACAACCGTTGAGAAAAAAACTTCCGGAATTTTTCCGAATGTCATATATATTTTGACTGGACTAATAAGTAGAACAAGGTGCAACCCGGAGGGTTCCTTCTGGCCCAATCGTACTTCCCCTACCCCGCATGTGGTGCCAAACGAATCCCCTACGCCACGAAGTGCATGTGTTGGCCCGCAGGAGCTGTGCGAAGATCCGCAGGTGTTCGTGGACGGCGCCAGTCGTCTGGACGTGCTGCAGGGGCCGAACCTGGGCGACTGCTGGCTCATCGCTGCGTGCTCGGCGCTGGCCGAACACCCACACCTCGTCAGAGAGGTACCACGTTCGTTTCTCCTACCGGTTCAATGTAGCTCAGAGCCAGCATGGTCGCTGACTCTGCAGCCACTCTGTCCGGGAGGTCCGACGTTTCGAGTCCCGGCGGAGACGGGTTTTCGACGATACATAGGTCGAATTCAAACGCGGTCTGAAAAAAACTTCTAGAGGCCAAATTCTCTGTTGATTTTCTACAGCTTCTCTGATTAATACCAGGCGAATGGTGGATCAGTACCCTAACTAACAGGCTATGGACCGTGGCCGCGCGCTATCTTTCCTTGCACTTTGTTCTGTCCTCTCGCCTTACACACACTTACATGTTCTATACTTCCACACAAGTCGGATTTGAAATAACTTTAATGGTCGGAGACTAATCTTAGAAAATAGATTGCAAAGAGGAGGACATACTCAAAACTCGGATGTTTTTGGGTTAAACCTCCCCAACGAGTGCTCAGTTTCCCAGATAATTAACAGCAAATACTCATAAAAAGTGTAAATGACATCCCTAATGGTACACTAATTACAAGAAAAAAAGTAGGTACGAACAGTTTACCCAAAGATAACTGAATACAGCACCTACGACTCTCTAACGATTGGTCAGGTTTTTAATGAATTCACTGATCCCAACGAAGCGGGCCGTCACAGTATTTTTTATAAAATATCTACTAAACTTGTACACTCCACATACATGCGTTTAATTGTTATTTCTAATTTTAATTCAATTATGGAATGATTTAGGTGAGTATATCCCTTCTTCATGCAGTAATTCATCAAAATACTAACAATTCGTCGTTGTTTTTTTTTGCTTCAGCGTTCTTCATCCAAATCACTGTTTTTGGAATTTTTGCAGCTGATACCCGATGGATTACAACTGAAACCTGGCGGTTCGGAAAATAACTACACTGGCAAAATTACAATTCGTCTTTGGGCATGTGGTTCTAGATTTGATATGATAATCGATGATCGATTACCAGTTATGAATACCAAAGACGGTTTAAAACTGGTGTTTGGTGCTTGCAAAGAGACTTCTGAATTTTGGCTTCCTTTGGTTGAAAAGGCCGTTGCTAAGTAAGTAATCAACTTTCAAAAGAAGAATGTTAACTAGATTATTTTTCAAGACAACTAGTAAGCTAGAAATTACTCAATATTCTTTTCGGAATAAATGATGCATTCTTAAAGAAGAGCAGACCGAGGTTAGTAGACACCAGATGGTAGTTTCTATTTTTCTTACGCGATTTAGTTTTGACAAGTGGAGTTGCAATAACGGAAACTACATTTATTACGCTTCATTATGATGAACGTTTTTTCATGAATGTTTGACTGTTGAACATTAGATTCGTTAAAATTCTTCACGTTGCGCCTGTCAACGTTCACTTCTAGACTTTGGAGTAGCTTGGGCGCTAGCATGGCATAGATTAGCAAACTACTTCCACAAGAGTGTGGAGTAATGGTAAATAATTGCCAAACTGAGTTATTTTCAATGTTTTATTTACACAAATGAATGCATATGAGGGATGAGAAATGCAATCACTCTTTAGTCTGGCAGGATAGCTTTACATCGGTAACTACAGAAAAAATTGGTAGTTTCAAAAATAACGTTTTAAAAATCAGTGGTTATTTTAATTTAATGTCTTTTACCTATAACTGAATTGCCTTTTTTGGAAAGCAAAGTTGCAGGTTCATGCCACAAATGAATGATAATTCTTTATGAAACTAAACATCACCGGTTGATAGTTAATGTCCCCTTTCTTAGAACTTTTTCATAACTTCTAAATACAAGTCCTCATCGTAAGTGAAACCTCAGTAAGTGTCCTTCCTCCTGCGAATGCGCACTTTTTCGGATATTGCACGAAATGTGTAGTATGCGTCACGCAGCATGCGTCGTTTCATCTCACAAGCAGTGTGAAAACCTGCACAGAGAGCCCATTGCGATGATGTGGTGTGGGCCGAGGCACGGGCCGATAGCACAACATCTGATTAAAAATGCCATAAAAAGGTTGGTACTACATTGAAAAAAGATACTTCTGCCTATGAAAATTTGTCCAAAATGGTAATGAATTCTATTTCATTAGAAGTGTAGATAGTAGGGCAACGACCACATTAAACACAAGTTTTGTAAAATAAGAAATAAAAAACCGTCCTGGATAGCCAAGATAGCTAAGGCGGAGTTAACTCCCTCGGCTCAAAACGTTTTGGGTCGAGGGTTTCGGATAGCCATTTCAGGAAAGAGAAAAAATTCTTATATTTGGTAAGAGGGTTGGCAGGAATATTATAAGTTGACTGGAACTGTACTAATAAATCTCAATTGAAAATAACCAACCAGCCTAAAATAGGATTTTTCATTAAAGATGGACTTATAAGTGACAAGGAAAAGGAAAAATTAAAAAAGGTACACGAAAATTAATTGATTCAAAGCTTGCATTGATCATACTGTGACTTTTGTGGGAAGTTTGTTAAGTCGTGAAGGACCCTTATAACAATACGAACATATGTCAGCTACGTGTACTGTTTAGAATCCCAAGTGCCAACCAGCCCTACCTATGATACACATGTAATAGAAATAAAATTATTGGATGAAAATAGTATCGTATTTATAATGTTAATAATAATTGTTTCCCGCAGATACCAAGGAGGATATAAAAATCTACGAGGAAGGCAAATAGCTGAAGGGTTAATGATCCTTACGGGTTACTCTGTAAACAGAATACAATTAGTTCAAGAAAACCCCATAGATAATTTGTTTAAGTTTTTGAAGAAAGAGTTGGCCCGAAAATCTTTAATTATGGCTGCCGGATACGTAAGTATAAACATTTTGACATGGCGAAAAAGCTGTGTTTCAAAGCAATTGTTTGAAAAACTGATGTATTTTAATATATTATCAATTTTATTCTCAATAGTGTTTAGACGAAATTGAGCAATCATCTCAAAAAACATTAGTCAAATAAATACATCTCATAACAAAGGACAAGAGTTGTGAGTCATGTTCTTCATAAATCGAAGTATTTCTAAGCAGTGCACGATCCACCTCGGATTCAACACATTTTTAGAAATAATACGTTATAGCTTAGCTGGCTGAGAGTGTGTGCGGACTCAGCGCTTCGATCCGAAATCTCACGGAATGGAGTCCCCCGTGGGGCATGGCTGTTTTTCCATTGTCTCATGTATGTGTTGTCGCGGAGGGCCGCGCATCCTGCTGATACCAGATCAGAGGAGTCCGCAAGTGTATTCGTGCCTAGTGTATGGTCACAAATACGTCCCATCGGGACGCAAAGTATAACTGACTATCGTCTGGATAAAAGCCCTAGGGAAAAAGTTATGGCTAATGTAAATATAGCATGTAGACCGTAAATAAAAGAATTATTTGTGAGGTGCACTGAAGTCTAAATCTCCTGCTCTGTTGTTTGTTCAAGACTAAAGAGCTAATCCGGATATCAACAATAGTCCTCAAGAATAGACGTGGTGGCGAAGAGAGTGCAAAGGAGAGCGTGTACCACACGTACACGGTGAACAAGGTGCTGCAGCTGTCGAACGGCAGGCAGCTCCTCCGCATCCGCAACCCCTGGGGCACGGAGACCGACTGCACCGGCAAGTTCCGCATCACGTGAGTGCTAGATTCGCTCCCAAGGCCTTGCTTCGAGCTCCGGTGGAGGATAGGCACGCCCACTGTCGCTAATGCCAATGAGAGTGCAGTGTGGCGGCGGGAGGACATTGTCCAGGCGGTCTCAACTGGGTACGGACTCAGGCGTGTCACCTTACACTCTCGGGAAATTGTGTGGAGACTTCACCCAGGCTCGAAATGTTTAATGTAACTATTGAGTCGACCAGTCTCTGGGCCGATAGCTCCAAGCTGGGATACGGCCTAGCTACTTATTTGCAAAGCGAAACAAAGCGCTATAACTATTGAAAAAAGTATCCAAAATCTTTTTCAAAATTAATTTAAGACGTGATAACGTTCGAGAACTGCCTACGTTTTTTCTACTAGAATGTGTCTTATAACACCATAATTTATATTTTCCACATTTTTAAACAATATGGACGATAGTGAAAAAAATTAAACCAATTTTATTAGAACCAAAATTTGATATTCGCTGACAAATATTTGTTTTTATTTGGAAAGTATTTATATTATCGAAATAAAATCATCAAACCCTTTTATTTTTAGATTTTTGAATTGTTTTAATATAAATAAAATAAGTCGGTTTTATGTATACTACAACACTCAAAAACTTTCCGAAATATTTAAATAATTATTTAATACGTATTCGACAAGTAATATTTGTTTATTAGATGTTGGTAGCATTTATGATGTCACTTCAGACGAATTTCCATGTTTGTGGCGATTTTTGGGTTTGCATAGCAATCAGGTTTTGTTGTTCGTGCGAGTTTGTTAGTCATATTTGGTAATGTCGGCTACAGAGCAACGCTCTAACATAACGTTTAGTGTTTTATTAGACAAATATCCGTCAGAGACAATATTAATGCTGGAAAGATGAGTATGCACATGCAGCAATAAAAAAAATCAGGTATATTTCTGGCATAAATGTTTCAGTGGAGGTCGCGATAGTGTGAAAGACGACACGCGCAGTGGCACACCAACAACTGCAACAAATGAAGCAAACGTTGAGCAAGTACGCATTGTTGTGAGGAGTGTCCGAAGCAAGTGTGTTTAGGGGATACCGACAGAGGTCCGAATTTTAGTTGGAAGTCTTAAGAGAATTCTTCACAAACATTTGAAATGCATTACATATCGGAAAAGATGGTTCCAAAAATGTTGTATCTTGAAAACAAATAAACAAGAATGATTCTTGCTGGAGATCTGATAAGTTTTGTTTATAAAAAATATTTTTTGAACCACATATTTGCTGTAGATGAAATTTGGTGCTATTTGTATGACCCGATGCCTAAACGACAGTCATGCGTGTAGAAATCCAAAATATCTCCTTAGAAACAAAAATTTCCTAAAGACACTAGCAGAGGTAAAGTTATGTTGGAAATTTTCTATGTCGCAAAGGGTCTCATCCACTATGAATTTATTGCACAAAATTGTACCGCAACAAAAAAACTCGTCGCTTCAGGGACGCAGTGGGAAGAAAACGTCCCGAAAAGGGAGAAGAAAACTCCTGGTTCCTTTTGCACGATAACGCACCATCACAGCGATCAGTATTGGAAAAACAATATTTTGCCAGGACAATGTTACTGCATTGGAGCATACTCTCTAGATCTGTCTCCCCCACAAGTTTTTACCTTTCCACGCGTGAAACTCTTCTGATGGGGCGAAGAGTTGTGAAAGCTGTGGACGTTAGAGCAAATACTAAGAGCACTACGACGAGTATCGGAGCTGGATTTTTATCAGGTCCGGATGGTCGAGGTCGTTGCTGCTGTAGTGCCGTTGCGGCCGGAGGATCGCGGGTTCAAGTCGGTTCGAGTCCCACCTGGGGCGTGGTTGTATTCGCGTTCGTCCTTTCACCCCCTCCCCATAACCTTATCATGGCGTCTTCATAGTTACTATACCATTAAATTGAGAGTGATCTCTAATGATCTACATGTTGATACGACCTTACATAACAAAAAAATGTTTTTAATTTTTCACTATCGTCCACATTGTTTAAACTATAATAATTGTTATAGTGTTGTAGGACACATTGTAGGAGAAAAAATTGAGACAGTACTTCAAATTTATCACTTCGAATTTTTTTTTTTAAATTTCAATAAGTCTTCAAAACTTATAGACAAAACATCTTCGAATTCAACTATATTTCCCTGTCTCTGCAAATATCCAGGCTGCTATATGCAATACAAGCCGAGAACAAAATAAAACATGAAAAACACATTTCTGTATCTCTGCAACAGATTGCCCTAGGAAGCTGATTTTTGGGGATTCTATGGTATTTTTTATTGTCTTTCCTATGAGCATCGCGATTATCGCTTTGGTTTGGGGCACTTTTTTCTGCCTTATTTGGCAATCCTTTATAATGCTGTTAAATACATAATAACCTTGTATGTAATATATTTTTTTTCGTTTCGTTAACTAAATATGCTCATTAAGTCCCGTAAAACCGTTGATTACCGCTGCGTTTATAGCATGCGTGCATTTAAAACTTCATCGTGCAATTAAAAGTCCACGACAGCCAATCATAATACAGAGAACTAATCTAATTTATAAACTATTACCCCACTCATACTTGGCATCAATCATCCAAACCCAAAAGTCGCTTTATATTGTATTGACATGTTTACTTCACCTATTTGAACGTGATGGCCCAGAGAGCAGTTGTTTTAGTAAAACTCCTTTAATTTTTACAATATCTAGTACATTATTTGTACATTATAAACTGATATTCTCCTTTCCAAGCCAAGTCTTCAATATACGTATGACTTTAAGCATGTTCGTTTGACACCAGCTAAGTAATGGAACACATACGATATTTTTCATGAATAAATGTGTTACGTGTAAAACGTTTGGTCTTCGCATACTACTAATATAAAAAATTAACCGTCAGTTGTATTTACCCGCTCTGAAAAGTACACCAGCAACAAGGCTGAGTCGGAACTGAATCGGTTTTCTCCTTTCCAACATCTACACGTGTTGTTCTCGCAAACAAGGCCATATTTTTCGTACGAAGTAATGTTATCATGGCTTTGTCTGCTTCTTCTAATATTTCAACCGGAATAAGTTAAATATTTTCCATTTCTAAACGTTTCTTATTTCAAAAATTATTTCCTATGACACTAAGGAGGTCATAAATATACTCTGCAAGCCCTACCAATATACGTTTTGTTAAAAACCAATATAACGTCATCAGTAACATACCTCAAATACCCGGGAAATAAAACATTGAATTTCTCAAAAGTAAAATTATTCTTTATAAGAAATGAAAAAATATTGCACGTAAAACTTAAAGGGGTACAATTGGTATAAAGTCCCTTTCCTGGCACACTGTATATTCCACATCATTAGTTATAAACTGTTGGCAGTATTTTTTACAATCTTTACCAGTAAGGTATTTGGAAATTCAATTCATTGTCACTGGTTGCAATATTTTTGTGATGTACGTTCACAGCAAAGATGGGTATCTTCAATGTATTTTTCAGAGAGGAAGACCACAAGGAGCTGCAACAGTGCCCTTGCAGCGACGGCGAGTATTGGCTCGACGAGAAGGGCTTTTATGAAAAATTTTTGGAGTTGTGCGTCGCCAATGAGTATCCTTCGGTCTCAAGAAACAAATTAGTGCCTTCTACAAACGTAAGTATCTCCTAGATTAAGGAATTTCTTTAATAATACCAATAATGAGTTTTATTATAAGAGAACTACAGAATGTCGCAGACCTTCTCGTACTACTTGTTTTTCTAATTTACTTCGTATGGGCAGTCTTTATTTGCTTCATCCTCTTGCAAGCTGCTATCGCCGCTCAAAATATATTTATCTAAGATTTCTCAATTTTTCGATTTCCTAGTGGTAGATTCAAAATATTACTTTTAGAATAATAAAGAATAGTAAAACTTGTAATGTATGGAAATTTTCAATTAAAAATCTAGATCTGTTTGTAAAAAAAATTGTTTAAGCTCTTGTGTAAATGCGATATTTGAGGCTCTTTTTAAGAGGAATATTTTGTGTTTTTTAAAAACTTAATTTCAAGTCATTTGAAGAACTTCCAATCACAAATGTAATCATGTATACAAATTGCTTCAAATGTTCATATTAACTACGTGACAGATATGTAAGAATATAACATTTATGTAATGTTTGAAAAATACAAAAAAACCTCAACAGCAATTTTATGCTATTTTAAACAGTACAATTAGCACTATCCATACGAAACGTTTGATACGATAATTTTACCGTTTCAAACATTACTTGAGTTTTCCATCCTGGGGTCGACATATAATACTTTATTTTGCTATCATATGTGTGCGTGCAAGTCTGTACAGAGCCGAAATTCCTGGAAGTTTTGCTGTATTATCCTGTTATTACAAATTTGATGGCAACGTCTACAAATTATCAGCCTTTATGCTTAGTTTGATAATAAAAAAAAGTAAAGATTTAGTCTACATATTTACATTTCTTAGTCTTTGAGCTCATTAATAATTTAAATTATCTTTACTTCGTACATCACAAATTCCGCATAGTACATCTTGTATCAATGTTCATAACCTTATGGAAATATGTTCTACGCTGGTTTTAAAGATGTATTCTGTCCGAATGCAGTCGGTGGGATGTCCTCGGGGGTTTCCTGCTATCGTCGTAAATTCTGGCAGCAGGAGAACTTTTGTAATGTTCCCCGAAAATTCTAGTTGCTTGATAATAATATTCTATAATACGATCTATTCAATTAATATCGTCCGCGAACGCGACTTTCCCTTCCTCTGATGAAGCGCCTACTCGCGACTGCTTGTCATTTTATGTCACTTCCAACCATTTATATTGTTCATTTAGATCAATTCATCATCATTGATGATTGGTTTAAGTATTGTACGTCAGAATAGTTGCCATACATTCGTTAAAAAAGACACTATTCTATTGCATGGTCTTTTAATGCCTTTGGAACTACTCAATTCCCTTCTTCGTCCACTAGCGTGACAGTCTTATCATTCTGGAGAGGGGCCTAGAGTGATGAAGTTACCTCGCTGTAGAGAATTGCTTGTCGCCGTCCTCAAATCGCGCATCTTGTGATGCCGCTAGAGGTGAGGCGGCATTGCAAGACGAAGGGTTGGCGCGGGCTCTCGTCGCCCTGGAGCGGTCCTGCATCCGAAGCACGCGCTGATGACTGAAGGCCCTCGCTCTCGTACCGACGACGAAGGTGTGTGAACCCGTCATACGTCACCCCATCCGCGTCGGAATGCTCGTCGCGGCAGGTTGCTCCCAGTGACAAGAGCTTTTCGGACGTTCTGGCTTTCATTTGCAGAACGGAATAAATCCCGTTGACGTGGTTATTTTGCTTCATAATAAATAATGCACCGGTTCCAGATAGGAAGGCATCCGGTGCAGCATAAACTTTCTAGCTTCAAGTTGCAATTTTAAACAGCCACTGATATCTAATATCTTTTTAAAGAAATGCGTCTTTATTCGCGTTCTGTGAAAATCAATGAGCCTTTCTCGATGGATTTCCGTCAGCATCCTCTATCTAATTTCTGCCTTATGCTATCATCCCTCTGTGTAGTTGCCCTCTGGTAAGGTGCGTGTCGCCCTGTTGGTTTGCTTAGCTACTTCAGAATATTCTATGGGGTTGTGAATGCCTATTGGTCGGCCCAGTTCCCTCTTCGATGGCCTGTATAATCTGATCGTTCCAATAAGTTGTCTTTGTTTAGCTAATGTGGACGATGGGTTGCCTGATGGACATCTTCTGGGTGTGTATATATATATACATACATACATACATACATATATATATATATATATATATATATATATATATAGTTATAAAAAATTTTCGTGAAGGATAAAAAACTACCTAAATATAGGGAACTAATTTTTGCTAAAATATGTACACGACTTAAAAAGCTCTTTTAATAGTATCATCATGCATCTATCAATTAGAGGGTTCTTTCATCACAACACTCAAATTAATTTGGTATTCAATGGAACATCAATAATCCAGTAATTTACGTTCACATTTAAATGAGTTTGGAATTGGATATTACGCCTTTGGGAAATAATATCCGCATCTCATTAATTTGTATGTTAACCTCAGATTCATTCATTTTCAGGTCGTATCTGGTAGAGGAATGTGGGAAGGCAAAACTGTCGGGGGTCCTCCTGGCAGTAAAACCTTTGAAAATAATTGTCAGTTTTTGTTTCAAATCGACATTGAAGGTAAATATTTATAAACATTTATTACAATTATGATAACTAATATAATAAAACTATTTCAATGGGGATATGCATAATAGGTATAATAATGCTCTTATAAAATAGCAAGTGAAATGATCAGTGTTAGAGCAGTATAAAAGGAAAATAACTTTTCTTATTTATAAAGACAATAACATGTTATTTTGTTGCACTGTTTTGTGAAGATCACAAATAGATCGCTCATCTGCAGTGTGCAAGTGCGCATTAGGAATATGTAATATGATAAATTTAATTAATTCTTTAATCCAAATAAGATTAAATAATTCTCTAGTAAATGATATAAAAACGAATTGACTCATATGCATTCAGGAACATATTTAAATACGCCTCCAAGTGCGTGAATTGCATCATCTTATCTGGCTAGAAATGTACACAATTTGTTGTATATTTGGAAATATTAATGAATAAAAGAAAATCAAACATACGAAGTTTTTTATATGTAAAACCAAAGTCACAAAGTAAAGGAAACTTCATATCACGGTTTCTGAATTAAACCGTCGTTTTTATTTCAATAATGTTAAGTCCTTATTTTACTCTGATTCTCCATTTCCCTTAGACAAAGAAGCAGTGAAGAGAAAAGTCCCGGTGCTGCTGGAGCTAATTCAAGATTTGCATCGCGAAGCCTCCCTCCCATATAAATCGGGAATGCAAATATACAAGGTAGGTTCGACATGTATTTAAACTCTCTTGTATATCCATTCTGAAAACTGTTTCAGATTCGAAATATCGGATCTTCCTAATTTATTTTACTTGTCTTTTGAATCAAACAAGGTGATAACTTAATAAGGATTTTAAACACGCCTCTGATTTTCTCCGACATTGGAACTACAGATTTAGAATTTTATGGTATTATTTTGTTTTTAGCTTTGATTTTGTCTGTGAAATATTTATTTTTAGCCTTTTAAAGAAACGCGGATTGTGATTATGAAATTGTGATTATTTTAACGCTAAATACAAAGCATATAATTTTTTTCGCGTATTATTTGTGTGATTAGGATTCCCAATAATAATCTTGTAAAAGGGGACAGCCGCCAAAAAATATTCAACACATTTCTTTTTATAAAAAGTTAATTTAGACTAGGGTTGCAAACAGTATTCCATTTGGGAGGACAGTTCTCATTGATGTCATTGTCCTCTTTTGTATTTTAAATATCCTTTTTCGGTAATTTTTTAGCATTTCTTGTGATTTATTTTATCACGTGACTAGCCTCTGCTACCTTGTATAATTTATTGTTTAATTTAGTTAGTCCAAGTTTAGACCAAGATTTCAAGATGCTAAGTCGCACAGAAACTCTCAGAAGCAGAATGATCGGATAGTTGAATTTTTTCCATAACGATATTTTTAGCAATAAATAAAGCATATACAGGTTGAAATGATGCCACATATCCATATCCTCTTCCTAGAAACCACAACAGTCTCTCTGAACACTCTTGTTATGTTGCAAAGAGGCACAATATTTTGTCACACTTAATTTTTATATAAACAAATGCGCAGCAAACAAAATATATTTTTGTGATGCGTTTAATCTCGTTGACGGCATTTTGTTTTCTTCAAGTTATTATTGCCATGAAAAATTGACTAATTAAGCGTTCTGTGTTCCTGACAAAAAATTGGGAGCAGGGCCTCTAAATAACCTCGCCTTACCCTTCGGGACACACCGGCTGCCTCTTCTATCATACGAAGAAGAATGATTTTGAGTGGGTCTGGGTTTGAATAGATAGATAAAGTAATTAATAATATAATAAAAAAGAAAATTAATATTTTGGAAGACGATCGTGCCTTCTGCAACGAGTAGATTTCGAAGGCCCTGGTTTTTATAAACATGTACTTATAAATGGCATTAGCGTTTTTATACTGGACTAGTAAGTTATTTCGAAAAATAAGTAATAAGTTATGTTTTTTACAAAAGTTTTGGCTTTAAAAACGTGTTTCTTGGCGACGTTCTTGTGTCCAAATTAAATATGTCATCAATGAGAGGGTTTTATTTCATACGAGACACGAGTCTATCTGTGAGAATTATGTGGAATATGTGTTAAACTAGTAATCATAAGCATATCTACTTAGATGTTTTATGTCTACCCTGAAGCAAAGTAAAAGGTCTAAAACATTACGTAAGTAACAAAGCGTACGTAGTTTTAGACGACACAAAGATTCATTCGAAGTGCAAAGAAAATTTTCTTGCTAACATGAATAATAAAAAGCAAAGAAGTGAAGGAAGCCGCATATACTCCGTTAATTAACATAGCTTTGTCCTTAGATCAAAGAAATAAGACAATGATTGATGAAGGTAATGATGTAGTAGATCATTAATAATATTGAGAGCTCTCTGCAAGTATCCAAAATGTGTCCTTTTTGAAACAGGTGAAAGATAAAGTGTTCTACCCACATATTCCCGTTTTCAACAGTTTGTCCATCAACTAATCCATCAACCAACCAACCAACACGTTTGAGTGCCACGCGTTAGGTAGCGATGTTATGCTTTAACAGTCACGTGACGGATTTTGAAGTCGTAACGTCTAACTTTGGGCGTAAGGCACAACTTGATTCCTTCATAAATAGTCCACGCCTATATGAGGCTCTACGGCCACCGTGCAAAAGGGCAAAATGGCAGCCTAAGATATCCTCTTAATTCTCAAGAAAAGCCGATTCAAAATTCCAGACTGCATACTCATCGCCGAGGGTCACAAAATCTAAAACTCAGTGCACAATGTAAATTTGTTATACTCTTGACTCGTATCGTGGTTCTAATGTCTCATCACTAGCCTATTCTCTTTAATACATAATGCAACGGCAACAATAATATAACGCAGTTGTGGAAACTCTTCTGAACGTTGTTCATGACGACTGTATAAAGTCATTAGTGACTTAATCAATTGAAGTTAAGGATGTCTTCCTAAAGAGCTATCGATGGGTTTCCAAAAGGGGATCCACATTACAAAAGGTGAGGCAGAGGACTTTATTTTTTATTTCTTTATATTGTTATTAAAAAACACATTTTCCACCACGAAATACTTCAGAAAAAGTTTTGATGGGCAATAAAGCAATGTTTTTGCAGATGGTTTGCTTAATGGTTGATTTGGCAGTTATTTACAATTTAAGGGACATGAAATTCTCTACAAATTTACTATTTAAATTACGTCTCTCATGCAAATTGTAACAAAGCTACGATCTTTTAAAATTTCACCATCCTTACCTTTTTATTTTGAAGTTCCAAATTTCTAATGGTCTTTCTTATGTAGTATTTTTGAATTATTAAGGTAATTATAAATAAAAAGCGATTCATCACTAATGTTTTAGTACTTTCTGAGGTTAAACTCACGATTGAAAGATCAACCGTTAAATCGCTATTTTGCAAAACCCAAAATATGCCCGAATTTTGTTTTTATTTGGCTCCCAAACCTTTTCCGAAGTACTTTGATGTGGAAAACAAAATTTTCTTACTACTAAAAAAATAAACAAAATCTTCTATCTCATCTCTTTGCGAGGCAAAATGTCTGTCGCTTAAAATGCCTATTGCCTGATTGCAGCTGGTGGCGGAGCTGGCCACGTGGCAGGCGGTGGGCGCGCCCGAGGTCCAGCGCTACTCGTGGGCGCAGCTGAGGAACAGCTCGTACGCGCAGTCGGCGGCGGCGGAATGCGGCGTGGCGCAGGCGTGTGTCGTGCGCAGCTACTTCGAGCTCACGCCGCACGCCCCGCACGTGGCGGTGGCGTGGGTGCACCGGGGCGTGCCGGCCGTGGGCTTCCTCTTGCGCGTGTACTCGCCCGCCGGCGTCGTCGTGCGCCTCAGGACCCTGCCCGACCCGGTCTAGTCGCGCATGCCCCCTCGCGTGACGGCGGCGGCTAAAAGGCGCTCGACCAGCTCCTGGCGTATACTATACGAAATACACTAGTTTCTCATCAATGACTTCAATTCAGTCATATAGCATTAAAATTAATACTTTTATTACCATTTGCTACGTGCAGTTTTATATTAATACCTTTTGCTGATTTTCCAAAGTCCTGCTCTCTCAACACATGATTCTACTCTGTTCACATACGAAATATTTTAGTATTGGCCAAGCCTTGATACCTGTGAATTACGTTTGCCCTGATGAAACAATTCCTTTATTTGTATTCTCTTGGTCATCGCTCTCGTTATCTTTCACTCTGAAAGACCCTTTTACACCAATCACGATTTCTAGCCAGGTGGTATTTACTTGTTATGTTCTCGGAGTCCGTGTCGGAGTCTTCTCGCTCGACAAAATTACCCTTGATTAGCTGAAACAATATCCTCATTGGTACGTTCTTTCGGCTAAAGTCGGATAGGCTGCGCAATGAGTTTTCGTCATTACTCGCCTTAGAGACGCAATACTTTCCATAGCATTTTCCATTTTTAAGATACTTTCGTGTTCATCCACCGTTTACACGAATAGGCAGATCTTGAGAATACCAAATCAGCAATACTATATGTTTATTGGTATTTGAGGAATAATTAACAGAACAAAAGGATACGAAACTGGAGTCGTACGAAGAGGAGGAACCCTGGAAACCTCGTGCCGGACAGCTCATAGGTCTCCAAGCCGCAAGGCGCAGAGCAATGCAACCGAGTTCATCGGTGGAATTTCTCTTGCCAGAAACGTCTTGGCGAACTGATCGTATGTTTCAAGCATTCTAAGTACTGAATTCACTTTTCGCCCAAAATAATCAGTGTCACGAAAATCACCGGGTTTTCTTTATCCTTATCTCTCATCATGCAGATTAAAAGGATATTGAAAAGAATCATATGGTGTGAAATATGTGGTAGCGCAAAAAAATGTACTCCACAAGAAACACTACGACACAGCATAAAAAATTAGGAATCAAATTGCACGCTGAGCCCGTTGCCTCTGCTTTCTACGGCTTTAGTCAGCCTCTGAAAGGGAGCAATAACACAAAAATGCTTCTCTGCCTCACAGAAAAAAATTGCGTTACTGCAAAGCAAAAATATAAAATCAATTGAGTTGCAACTTATTTAGTAAAAGATAAAGACATGAAATATTTGTTAATTTGAGGCTTTCTAGAAATTGTGGCATAATTACACAGGATTAGGACATTTAAGATCAACTGTTTCAGAGGAGACTGTAAAAATGCTGAAAGCACTTTTCCTCTGGGTACTGAAAGTACAAAAATTAGAAACCAAATTAAGAACGGAAAAATACGTGGTATGTTCTCGTAATAGTCAATTAAATATGTATATCATACGGACAAATGAAACAGATCACGAATAAAATATTTTAGGATCTCTCTCTTCTCTCTCTCTCCGTCTCTCTCTCTCATCGTCTCTCTCGGTCTCTCTCTCTCTCGTCTCTCTCTCTCTCTCTTCTCTCCTCTTCTCTTCTCTCTCTCTCTCTCTCTCTCTCTTGCTCTCTCTCTCTCTCTCCGTCTCTCTGCTCTTCTCTTCTCTCTTCTCTTCTCTCTCTTCTCTCTCTCTCTCTTATCGTCCTCTCTCGTCTCATCCTCTCGTCCTCCTTTTCGTTCTCTTCTTCCCCTCCTCTTCTTGCTTCGCCTACAACAGATGCATCCCATATCCTCACGCCTCTCATCGTCCTCTCCCTCTTTCCTCATGCCGGTGTCTTCTCATGATCATCTCAGTATTTGTTCCTTAATGCTCCCACTCTCTCTCCTCCGTCGGTCAGGCGTCCTCGGTCGTCTGTCAGTCTATCCTCAGTCGTCGCGTCGCTCTCCACGACTCGCATCGTCCAGGTGCTCACCCGGTACCCTCCCGTCTTTCTCATCTCTCACAGATCTCGGTACTCATCACCGGCTCGTTCTCCTCCTCTCGCCTCCGGTCTCTCATCATGCTCGTCCAGCATCTCTCGTCTTCTCTTAGTCTCAATACGTCTCGTGTACGACTCAATCTCGAGTCACCGTCACTCGTTCCTCATCTCGACAGCCAGTCGGCTCACTTGCTTTCTCTCTATCTCCTCTC